AGGAGGAATTAATGCCAGGAAGGGAGGGCAGGCATGAGGACCTAAGGCCTCGTCCCAGAGAGGGGCATCTCCACTTTGGCAAGAACCATCCCGGCAGCAAAGACAGGAACCCCAGGTGCCCCCTCACAGTCTCTACGTGGTCTGAGGGGTGGGAAGTGGAGGCACTAGCACAACAACTGACTCCGGCCCCGGGGCTTGGCAGGGAGGCTGGGTTCCCCATCCCCTACCTGCTCTGTGAACGAGTGTCACACACCCTCACCAGTAACCGGGGCCAGAAGCAGACCCAGCTCCCGGGGCTGCCTGAGGATCCCGTGAGTTTATAGACTCTCAGTTGCTTAGAACCGCAGTAAAGAACACACACTGCACACAGAAGGCGCTCAAAAGGTGCACGTGGGACCTGGCACATTGCACACACGGCTCCTCTCAGCGTGGCTCTGGCCAGGGAGGGACAGAGTGGGTCACAAAGCCCGAAGGCAGCAGAGTTCAGATTAGAGTTCAAGGGGGCTTCTCCCTGCTCCCCCTCCACCCAGCACCTTGTCCACAGGAGCTGCGACCTTGGACATGTCCCTTAACCTCTCTGTGATCGGTTTCCTCCTCTCTGAAACACAGGGCCAGATCACATATAAAAAAGAACGGAGTTGGGGGGCGCCTGGGTGGTTCAGTCGGTTAAGCGTCTGCCTTTGGCTCAGGTCATGATCCCAGGGTCCGGAGATCAAGCCCCACATGGGCTCCCTGCTCCCTCTCCCACTCCCCCAGCTTGTGTTCCTTCTCTCTCTGACAAATAAATAAAATCTTAAAAAAAAAAAACGAAAAAAAAAGAAGGGACCCACTGTCTGCAGCCTGTCCTCCAGGAGGACAGGAGAACAAATGATGACCCCCACAGCGATCGGCCCCAGGCGGCCAGGACTCCATCGGTAACTGCCCGCTTCCCAAATTTTTGCCTTTACTCCCAACTCAGGACCGACACGAAAATAACTGAGTATGTTCCCTGGCCCATCACAGAGGCGATCTATACCCTGATTTTAGTTATCCTGCCTCCAGCTTCTCTGTGCCAACAGCCGCCCATCCAGACCTACCTAGCCCTTCCCTTTGCCCACTCGGAGGCTGCCCCGCTCCCTGGCTAGCTTGGAGTCTGGAAACACAAGCGATGTGGCTGACCCCCTCCCTCCAGAGCCCGCCGGCTCTGGATAAACTCCCTTGGCTTCTTCTCATCCAAGGGGTCTTCATTTATCTCTGCAACCCATATACGGTCCGTTAGCTTGAACCTTGCCCTCTAACAAGCACTCGGCAATGCCAGCCTTCAGTTCACTTGGCCGGCCTCAGTTTGCCATCTGTCCTTAGGAAATTGGGGAGCCATGCGGACAAAGCTCCCAGGACCTTGAGAACTCCCCACAGAGGGAACCAGCAGCAGAGACCTTCCTTCAGCACTGGGACTCCTTACACTGTGGGGTATTATCAGCCCCGGGGGCGGGGGGAGGTGCCGCGATCAGATCCTCTGATCTGATCTGATCCCATCTGATCCCGGAGGGCAGGCAAAGTCCAACTGTTTGCAAGGAAGGGTGTGGCCTTGAGAGGGACGGCCTCTCCTGATATCTCCATGGTGATGTCACTCCCAGCCCCAGCCCGCGACTACATCCAAACAATCATTTTTTTGTGTGTGTTTTGAACAGAAACACAACATCTGAACAATCCTCTTAACAGAAGGTGGGGGGGGTTGGGTTGGGTTAAACCCCCTTTTGTGAGTTAAGTAACATGTACCTTGATCGTTGATCGTGGAAAGATGCAGAAAAGGGAAGAGAAAAATCGCAAGGATTCCCTCCACCCAAAGCCCCCCACCGTTACCAGTTTTTTTCCCCTCTGTAGTTTAAAAGGTTGGGAAATCTACGATATCCACAGTTTTTATCTTGTGCATTTTTAAAATTGAAGTATAATTAACATGACAGTGTTCTATGTTAGTTTCAGGTGTCTGTGATGGGGATTTTTTTTTTTTTTTAAGATTTTATTTATTTATTTGGCAGAGACACAGTGAGAGGGAACACAAGCAGGAGGAGTGGGAGAGGGAGAAGCAGACTCCCTGCTGAACAGGGAGCCCGATGTGGGGCTCTATCCCAGGACCCCGGGATCATGACCCACACCGGAGGCAGATGCTTAACCCACTGAGCCTCCCAGGTGCCCCTGTTTTCCCATGTTATTACAAATTTCTCGTAAAAAGCAATTCAGAGTTTATAAAATATTCCATCACACCGATGTCCTGTTGGTCCTAAAAAATAAAATGCCACAGTAAAAAGTACACCAGAGAGGCAGCCCCCAGGCCTCCCCTGTGGTTGTCACCTCCCCAGGCCTCCAAGAGCTCTGCCCAGCCCCTGTGGCTCCCAACGCACTTTTCCCATGAAAGCGCGCCCCCCACCCCCTTTCCTATGGGGCTACCAGTCAGGGCCAGTGTCAGCAAGAAAATGTCCAGATCAGCACTTTGGTGGAGACAAAAGCGCTGGGTGAGAGGGCAGCTGGGAGGGCTCTGCCCCCCTGGTCCTCGCCCCAACCCGTCATCTGACATCCTGGAAGCAGAAAACCCCAATCCCAGCTCCCACAAGACAGAAGCTCTTTTCTCACCTGGAAGGAGTCTGGCGGGTGAGTTTCCCCTTTGAGGCTCCGCCCCACGGAGTCCGGGGCAGGGGTAAGCTAGGACCTGCCTGCGCTGTTGGGCTGAATAATAGTGAGGGCTGTCAGTGAGGGAGGGCACTGCTGGGGGGTGGTGGTCAGGGGTGGGCGGAAGGCAAGAGGGGGTGTGGATGGAAACTGGACAGGACCAGGTGAGCTCAGGTACATCACAGCAGGCCAGACTCTGCACCCTGGAAAAACCCCTCCTCTCTTATTTTTTTAATTATTATTTTTTGAGCCCTGTCTCTCTCTCTTTTTTTTTTTTAAGATTTTATTTATTTATTTGACAGAGAGAGAGAGAGAGAGAGATCACAAGCAGGCAGAATAGTCAGAGAGTGGGAAGCAGGCTCCCCGCTGAGCAGAGAGCCCGATGCGGGTTCCATCCCAGGACCCCCGAGACCCTGACCTGACCTGAAACCAAGAGTCTAACCCTCAACCCACTGAGCCACCCAGGTAGCCCTCTGAGCTGCTTCTGATCAGCTCTCATCTGCTTTCCACCTTCAGAGCCCCCGCGGCCTTTGCAGGGAGGGCAGTGGCAGAATCTAGGAGGCCAGCAACCTGACAGAGCCCTGCCCTTCATTCTGTGTGTCCTCCGCTCTGATGGTTAGAGAAGACCCTGTCCGAAATCCCCCGCTCACAGAAGGAGATCCAAGCTCCTAACACATCCTCAGAGGACCCGGCTCTTTTTGAAAAAAGTTCACATTTCTTTTCTTTAATTATTATTTTTTTTTAAAGCAAACTTAAAGCCCAGTGTGGGGTTTGAACTCACGACCCCAAGATCAAGAGTCGATGCCTTATAGACTGTGCCGGCCAGGGGCCCCGAAGTTGACGTGTGTGAAAGGCTAACCATGTACTAGGTGCTGACTGCTCTTAGTGCTTCACGTAGATTAAGATACTTGACCTTGACAACAACCCTAGGAGGTGGTCTGTCACCAGCTCCACTTTATAGATGGGGGAAACTGAGGCCTAGAGAGGATTGCCCATCAGCTGGCAGGGGATGAAGCTGAATTCTCACCGTTGCATTGTGCCTTGTGTCTTATCTCTTAATTTCCAGACCATTCTCTCCTGGCCACATGGACACAGTTTAGCTTCTTGGTTCCTGAACGTAGCCTCCCACCTGGAACCCTATCCCGCCCACGAGGCTGACACCTCCTCCAGACAGCTCTTCTCTGGGCCTGCTCTGGGGCCTCCTTTCCCCTTGGTCTCCAGCTCTGGCTCCGCCCACCAGCTGGGGACCTCCTCCTCAGGGCTGGCCAGGGTCTAGCCTCCCTCCTCGAACCTTTACCCCTTAGCAGAAGTGAACTGAAACGGTACCCCCAGTTGGTAGGTGGGGAATTCAAGAGGTGAACTCACTTCTCCAAGATTATGGGAACCAGAGCAATGGAGGGACAGTGGTGGGGACGAAGCCAGTTCATTCACTCTGGTGTCATTGAGTGTCTGCCCTTGGCCAGGCACTGGACTGGGTGCCTTGCGGGACATGAACGAGACTGCCTGGTGCCTGTCCTCCTTGGCGTCACTGTCACCGTACAGACCACAACCTCCCCCAACACACCCTCATTCCCATATTTGAAGGAAATGGAGATGAGTTTGCACTGGGGGTGGAGAGGGCTGGCAGCTGTAAACTCCGCTGATATCACAGGAGGCAGACCCCGCTCAGGGGAGGAGGGCGCAGCATTCATCCTGATCTTGGGTACCACTTTTTCCAAAGACGTGTTGGGAACCTCATCACCCGTGCCATTTCCCCCCACCCACCACCCTGAAGGTCTCAGCTCGGCTACACCATCTCCTCCTCATCCCTTCCTGTCGAGTCCAAACGTCACCTCCTCTGTGGAGCCTTCCCGGAAACCCCAGGAGCCGCCCCCAGCATCCCGAGCTTCCACCTCTCCCAGGGCTCTGGGACATCCTCGTGCGCAGAGCGAGGCCGACGGAGGCTCTTTAAGCGCCTGTAGGTGACCGGCGGCGAGGCGGGGGTGGGGGTACCCTCGACGCCCCACGACTGACGGCGGCGGGCGGAGGAGGAGGGGAGGCCGCGTTTTCCGCCCGCCCGCCCACTTGCGGCGCGGCGCGGCGGCCCGAGAAACGCGAGGCCACGTGAGCGCGCGCCTGACCCCCGCCACGCCAGGCCCCGCCCTCCGGCGCCCGCCCCAGCGCCGGCCCCTTTTGTTCCCTCCCGGAGCCGGGCCGCTCGCTCCGCTCCCGCTCAGCTCGGCTCGGCTCGGCTCGGCCGCGGGGCGCGCAGGCGGCGGCCGGGGCTGCTCGGTCCGCGCCTCCCGCCTTCCCGCCGCCGCCCGGGCGCGAGGCCCGGGCCCGGAGCGCGAGCGCGGAGCCCGGGCGCCGGGAGGGGCTGCGGCCGGTGGGCAGCGGCGCGCGGGGAGGGGCCGCAGCATCCTCTTCCCCCCGCGGCGCCCCGGCCGGGAGCGGAGGAGGCCGGGCTCCGAGGCGCCCGCCGTGCAGCCCGCCGCCGGAGGGGCGCAGGTAGGAGCCGCCGGGCTTGGGGGGGGTCCGGGGGAGGGGGCTCGCCGGGCAACAAAGGAGCGGGGGGTGCGGGAGGCGGCGGCGGCCCGGCCTGGGCTGCAGCCGGGCGGCCGCCCGCAGGCATTGTCGGGGCGTGGGGCGGGCGGGAGGGTAGGGGGCCGGCTGGTGGGCGTGAGCGGGAGGTGCTCCGGCCGCACCCCCAACTTCCCGGTCGCCCGCCGGCGAGGAGGGGCCGCTGCCGGCGTTGGGGGGCTCCCTGGGTCGCGGGTCCGCGCGTGGAGGCAGCGCCGGCACCCTCGGCTCCCGCACCCGCAGACCGGGTTCCGCACAGCTGCCGGGGGCGGGGGGCACCCGGCCCGGCCCTCAAGGGCAGCGCGGGGCGGCGGGACGCCGCAGGACTCTCCGGGCTCCCGGACGGTGGGGGGCGGGGCGGGGGGCCCCAGCCGGGTGGGCGCGGCCGCACGGCCCCCTTGTCTAGACCCCCGGCTCTGGGAGAGCTCGGAGCCTCCGCCCCGCCGGCTGGGGTCGGCCGGCCCATTGCCTTCGCAAAACTTGGTTGAAGTGCATGGTGGAGGGGTGAGGGGGAGGCTGGGGCAGGGCGGCTTCCTGCAGGGGTGCCCCCCCAGGGCTGGCGCTGGTAGCTGGTGAGGCAGCAGATTTTCTGCCCTCCCCGTAGGGAGGGGCCTTCGCCGCCGAGATGCTTCGCCCTGGCCTCCAGGGCGCGCCCGTTTGGGCCCTTCAGGCGGGGGGCCTGGGCGGGGCTGGTGCCCCCTGGGCGCTGTCACCAGGCCCCAGCACCACCTCGGGCAGGATGGGCAGGGGGGCATCTTGGGGAGTGTCACACACCCAGCAGCGCATCTCCCACCTTTGATACCCGGCCGCTCCCATGTGAGTGAGATGTAGGAGTCCAATTTGTGGGGGGGGATGTCCTCACCCCTATAAGATGCCCAAGGGAGGTTAGTGGGGGTAGCACTGACCCAGGGCTGCAGGCAGCGGAGGAGAGTGCTGGGAAGGCCACGTGGGGCAAGACACCCCACCAGTTGTAATGTAAACAATGAGCCCTTCATTCATCCGGCTGCTGTCACCTGTCCCAGCACTGCCAGGGGCCCCGCTGCCCCAAAGGTCACCTGTCCCAGCACTGCCAGGGGCCCCGCTGCCCCAAAGGAGCACAGCCCAGCAACACTGATGGCTCGCTGGGTGGGGGAGCTGGGAGAACAGAGGAGGGACCCCTGGATGATGGGGTGGAGGAGGAAGCTGGTTAGAACCCTGAGCCACAGTTTGCTGCCAGGATTCCAAAGGGGGTTTCAGGCAGACAAAGTCACATGGGCAGGGGCTTGGAGTCCCAAAAGGAGGCCTGGTGGCTGTTGGGTTGGAGGAGTGGCAAAGGACTTAGGTGACTGGGGTGTGGGGTTTAAGGCAGGGGAACTTCTGCTGAAGGAAGGGATTGTTTTCCCCTTCCTACTTTTGCAGATGTTCCCCCCACCCCCCCAGGCTCCCTCCTCCATGAACTATGAGCCCAGGCTGCTCTGGCATTTGCAGTGCCTGGCCCAGGAGAGATGTTGGGGTACGGGTTCTGGGTCGCATGGGGTGGGGGGGAGATGGAGCAGAGCTTCAAAGGCAGAGGACCTGGCAGAGGGAGGCTGGTGGTGTCTGGGATCCTGGCCCCCAGCTTGAAATCCCAAGCTGGGGATTCAGCCACCCAGCAGGCCCTTTTCAGTGTCTACTTGCTTGCTTTGGTGGTTGAGTTGGGAGGCTGGCACCCGACAGTCTGGGTTCCAGCTCTGTTATTTATTAGCTGTGTGACCTCAGACAAGTTACTGTACTTCTCTGGCTTAGTTTCCCTGTCCTTTAAAATGAGGGTGCTTAGGGTCTCTGCCTTTTTAGGGTTGCTGTGGGAATCTGATGGATGAATGTGTGTAAAGTGGGTGCCCAGTGACGGGGAGGGTGCCCAGTGTTTGTTTTGCTAGTGCCCTGGGTCCAGCCTCCATCCACAACCGCGTCCACAACCGCGTGGCTCGTCCCCTCCCCCGCTGTTTGTCCACCGCTGGGCAGTCCTGCCTGTTATCCCACCACTCACCGCAGTTTCCTCCCGGGGCTGCTGCCTCTGCTCTCATCTGTGATGTGGGGGAAACACTCCCCTCCTGCCCTCCCCTCCCTGACCCTGCCACCCTGAAGATTGACCCCTGTCCTCTTGAAGCCATGTCTCCCACCTCTGCTTCCATGCCCAGAGTGGGGACGGTGTTCCTGACCCCGCTGGGCCCCTGCCGTCTTCGTCGGAGCCCCTGGAACAAAATACCACAGACTGGGTGACTTAGGTCCAACAGAAATTGATTTCTTACGGTTCTAGAGTCTGGAAGTCCAAGCTCGGGGTGCCAGTTCCGATGGGGGAGGCCCTCTTCTGGCATGCAGACTTCTTGTAGTCGCATCTGGCAGAAGGGACTTGGGAGTTGTCTGGGGTCCTCTTTATGAGGGCACTGATCCCGTTCAGGACAGATGTCACCTTCCAAAGCTCCCCCCATACCATCACATTGGGGTTAGGTTTGAATCTGGGGGGGTGGGACACAAACATTCAGACCCGAGCGCCTGCCCCGGGGTCCTTGGGGAGAACTCAGCTTTTGTGTAGGTTTTTAAAACAACAACAGCGCATACCCAAGCCCTCGCTCTGTGCCAGGAACCATTTCCCGAGCTCTCTAAATGCTCGTATTCGTGTGCGGTTGTCAGCACAACCTGCATTTGACGGATGCGGGAGTCAGGACCAGAGAGCTTCCCTGTTTGCCTTTCGTGCATCCATTAAGCACCAACTGTTTTTCCCAGGGGAGACAGGCTACTATGCTATGTGCATTATCACCAGGGCTCCGTTTGGGCCATGCCTTCCTCAGACACCACCTCAGTTTGCCCAAGTCCAGTCCCGCTCGCTCTCTGGCTCCCTGGGGGCCCAGCCAGGCTGACCCTCACACCTTCCCAGCTCTCCTCTCCCCACCCACCCATGCTGGCCTGACCCCAGACAGCCTGACCCCGGACGATGAGCCTCAGCTTTGGTAAACTGGGGGTGGTGGCAGGAAGGCGGGGAGGGTCCTGACCCCTGTTTTCCGGGATTCTCTGCTTTTGCAGGGCTCAGGAAACTCCTTCAGTTAGATTAAGGGAGAGGGGAGTTAGGAGGGAAGGGGAACTGGTAGAGCCAACAGTTACAGGCGGCTCCGGGGTCCTCCAGGACCTGGGATGCTGGCAGGCAGCCCCTCTGGCTTGCCGCTTTCTGGACCGGGGTTTCATTTTCTCCTCCTCTCCCACTGCATCTGTCCCTGCCCTTCTCCCTGTAGGCTGGCTCTGTCTGGGTTGTCGGCACGGCTGCCCTGAATGGTGACTCTAACTGAGGCCCCAGGACCTCCTGTGGGGCCCCCCTCGTTCTGGGGGTGCTAGAGAGACCGACTGGCCCAGCTTGGGTGAGGGGACCCACCCTGTCGCTCAGCTGGTGGGGGGGCAGGCCACGTGGGCTCCGGGGCTGGGGGCTGTGGATCCCGCCTCGGGATTGCCTGCCGTGATGGTGCCCAGTGTGTGCTGGGGGCGTGTGCTGGGGGAGGATGGGTGAATGGGGCATTGCTCCCCTTGGATACTCAAGATCTGATGGGAGAGGCAGACCCAGGCCAGTTGACTGGGTGATTTCTTGGGAGTAGCTGGAGTGCACCAGTCCGACCTGGGTGGGGAGGGAGGGATGGCGGGGGATGGCGAGGGACAGCGGGGAAGGTGACCCACGGCACTTGCCCCCCGCCCCCACAAGCTGTGGCTTAGAAGCCGATGAGGGTCCTCCCTTCAGGACCTGGAGACTGGAGGCCCGGTTGCCAGCCCGGGACCGTGGCAACCCCACAGCCCACCCTGTCCCCCCGCTCCCGTGCAGGGCTGCGGGGGTTGTGTGTGTCTGTGTGTGTGTGCGCAGGAACAGTCAGACAAAACTCATGTTTTCAGAGGAAATGATTCAAAATGATAATGAAATGTTTCCCTTCCGAATAGGAAGCAGAGCATGTCGGGTGGCTTTTATTAACGAGGCGTGGGGTTTTGTCCACATAGTACTGCCGTCTTCTCTGGGCAGCTCTCGGGCATCCCTGGAGTCTATCCCAGACTCTGTCTGCCCAGGAAAACACCTGCTCTGAGTTCACGTCCTTCTTCGCCCTCATGGCCTCTCTGCCTTGAGGGGGTGGAATTTGAGGCTCCCCCGGGGTCCCTGTTTTTCCGGCTGGGGGCTCAGCCTGCAGCCCACCACTCTTCCACGTGGAGTGTGAAGCCGGACCGGCCACGAGGGAGGGAGGGAGCGACGTTTGGTGTCTGTGGGGGGTTTGCCTCCTCGTATCCTGACTCCGCTCAGGCTGTTCCCTTTCTGCTGTAGGCTGTTCCTTGCATAAACTCGTTGGTTCGTTGACACAGCTCCTTCAGACCAGGGGCTGAGCCGGGGCACACAGCGCTCAGGGCAGAGGAGGGAAGACCTTCACCAGGGTCTTGTGTGCTCTTTGACCCCCGAAAGGGCTGGGAGGTGATTTGCCGAAGGAAACGCGGTATAAGGAGACAGAAAAGGCGTGCAAAAGTTGAGCAAGAGGAAGATCAAAAATCAAACGGAGCTGGAGGGGGCCCACTGGACCTTCTCCCGGAGGTAATTTGACTCTGAGCTTTCTAGCAGCCAGATCCGAGGAAGGAGCAGGAATTTGGAGGGGCCGTACGATTGCCTCGCCTTGCGTGAGCCCCGCTGTGTGTCCCGCCAAAGCCTGAGGGTTGGACAGCGTGGTCCTGGGTACGGCCCTGGGTCTGGAGCGCAGAGGGGGTCAGCTGCCGCCCCTCGATTCTTTGAAGCCTCCCCCTGGAGGGTCCCTGCCCTCAGCTGAGAGCTGGGGCTCGTGTGCACAGCCAGCCCCTCCCTGGGGTCTGACCAGTCCCAGGTGTTGGTGAGAGCCCGGGAACCAGGAGCCACGGCAGGGATGTGGCAGACCGTGGCCTTGGGCTGCCCTCCTGACCTC